GCCTTGGCCTCCCAAAGTGCTAGGATTGTAGGCATGAGCCACCGCGCCCAGCCAAGCATGAATTCTCTAAGTGGTTCACCCAGGAGTAGAACAGTGTCACAGACAATCTTATTGCCATGACTATTTACAATGTTTTGAACATTTCAAAACCCATATGCTTATCAACCAAGGATAAGCATATGGGTTTTTGTTTTTTTTTTTTTTTCTGAGAAGGAGTTTTGCTATGTCACCCAGGCTGAAGTGCGATGGTGCAATCTCAGCTCACTGCAAACTCTGTCTCCTGGGTTCAAGCAATTCTCCCATCCCAGCCTCCTGAGTAGCTGGGATTACAGGTGCCCACCACCACGCCCAGCTAATTTTTGTATTTTTAGTAGAGACGGGGTTTTGCCCTGTTGGCCAGGTTGGTTTCGAACTCCTGACCTCAGGTGATCCTCCTGCCTTGGCCTCCCAAATTGCTGGGATTACAGGTGTGAGCCACCGCGCCTGGCCACCAGTTCTTGATTACCAGATTAAGTGTTCTTATAGAAGATGATGTGGATCTTGGATCTTCTGCTCTGTGGAAACTTCTGTATTGATCAGTCTTTCTTCCTTGATCCCATTTTAGAGAGCCCTCACATCAAGGCCAGTGTATTGTTAAACATAGTCAGTGTTGGCTCAGTCACCTCCCTCACCCCTCAGTTGTTGCTCCACCTACCCATGTCTTTCCATAGGCATGAAGATGGGAATTTAAAAAAAAAAAAAACACACACATACTGGGCATGGTGGCTTGAGCCTATAATTCCAGCTACTTGGGAGGCTAAGGTGGGAGGATCATTTGAGCCCAGGAGTTTGAGACCAGACTGAGCAGCATAGTAAGACCCTGTCTCTACAAAATAAAATAAAAATAATTTTCAAAAATCCTTTGCAGTGTTTTAAAAAGCTAGATAACAGGCTGGGCGTGGTGACTCACACCAACTACTTGGGAGGCTGAGGTGGGTGGATCACCTGAGATCAAGAGTTCGAGACCAGCCTGGCCAACATAGTGAAACTCCGTCTCTACTAAAAATATAAAAATTAGTCGGGCACGGTGGCAGGCAGCTGTAATCCCAGCTACTCAGGAGGCTGAGGCAGGAGAATCACTTGAACCCAGAAGGTGGAGGTTGCAGTGAGCCAAGATCGTGGCACCGCACTCTAGCCTGGGTGACAGAGCAAGACAAAAAAAAAAAAAAAAGAAAGAAAGGAAAGGAAAAAGGAAGAAAGAAAATTCCAGGAGGTTTTGCAGTGTATTTCAGTGACACCATACCCACAGGCAGTTTCCCAGGGAGTTCCACCAGTTCCCCAGAGCATGATTTCCCAGCAAATTCTGTTGGCATCACCATCCAGGTAGCTTCCAGAGAGTTCCACTGGCACACTAGAGGGCATCTTCCTTATAATGCCCAGAAAGTGTTGCAGATACCCACAGGGCAACTGTCTAGTGATTTCCGCCAGCACCCCCAGAAAGCAGGCGCCTGCTTGCCAGCCACCACATGGGTACCCCCATAGGCTTTCCCACTATGCAGTGGACCATGGCCAAATCCTGTTTAATAAGGTCTGAATCTCGGCCCTGGGGGGCCACCCCATTCCTGGATTTGCTCCCTCCTGGGTCCCTTGCCTCAGTCCAGCAGTTACAGATGCTCCTGCAACCTGCTGCTTATGGTTCTCTTTAGAGTCCTCACTCCCTCTAGCAGCTAATCCCATGTTACCAGTTGACGATTACTAGGAAGCTTCACCTGTTGGTGTAAATTAGTACAACCTCTATGGAAAACAGTATGGAGGTTTCTTAGAGAACTAAACATAAACCCCCATTCAATCCAGCAAGCCCACTACTTGGCATCTACCCAAAGGAAAAGAAATCATTCTATCAAAGAGACACCTGCCTTGAATGTTCATCACAGCACTATTCACAGTAGCAAAGATATCTAATCAAGCTAAGCATCCATCATCACCAGATGATTGGATAAAGAAAATGTGGTACATACGCAATGGGATACTACTGAGCCATAAAAAAGAATGAAATGGCCAGGCGCGGTAGCTCACGCCTATAATCCAAGCACTTTGGGAGGCCGAGGCCATGGATCACTTGAGATCAGGAGTTCTAGACCAGCCTGGCCAACATGGTGAAACCTCATCTCTACTAAAAATACAAAAATTAGCCGGGCATGGTGGCACATGCCTGTAATCACAGCTACTTGGGTGGCTGAGGCAAGAGAATCACTTGAACCCGGGAGGGAGAGGTTGCAGTGAGCCGAGATCACGCCACTGCACTCCAGCTTAGGCAACAGTAAGAGACTCTCTTTCAAAAAAAAAGAATGATGTCTTTTGCAGCAACATGGATTGGGGGCTATTGTCTTTATCAATTAACTTAAAAAGGCAAATGCTACGTGTCCTTACTTATAAGAGGGGCTAAATAATAGGTACACAGCGACATACAGTGTGGGGCTGGGCGTGGTGGCTCACGCCTGTAATCCCAGCACTTTGGGAAACCGAGGTGGGGAGATCACTTGAGGCCGGGAGTTCAAGGACCAGCCTGGCCAACATGATGTAACTCTGTCTCTACTAAAAATGCAAAAATGAGCCTGGTGTAGTGGCGGGCGCCTGTAATCCCAGTTACTAGGGAGGCTGAGGCACGAGAATCTCCCGAACTCAGGAGGCAGAGGTTACTGTGAGCTGAGATTATGCCACTGCACTCCAGCCTGGGCGACAGAGTGAGACTCTGTCTCAAAACAAACAAACAAAAACATGGTCATAGAGTGTAAAATAAGAGACATTGGAGACTCAGAGGGGTGGGAGGCAGGAGGCGGGTAAGGGATGATAAATTACTTCATGGGTACAATGTACATTATTTGGGTGATGAGTACACTAAAACTCCAGACTTCACCAATGACACAGTATATCCATGTAAGAAAACTATACTTGGCTGGGCGCGGTGGCTCACACCTGTTAATCCCAACAACTTGGGAGGCTGAAGCGGGTGGATCACGACGCCGGGAGATTGAGACCATCCTGGCTGACACAGTGAAACCCTGTCTCTAGTAAAAAATACGAAAAAAAATAGCCAGGTGTGGTGGCAGGTGCCTATAGTCCCAGCTACTCGGGAGGCTGAGGCAGGAGAATCGCGTGAACCCGGGAGGCGGAGCTTGCAATGAGCTGAGATTGTGCCACTGCACTCCAGCCTGGGTGACAGAGCGAGACTCTTGTCTCAAAAAAAAAAAAAAAAAGAAAAAAAAGAAAAGAAAACTATACTTGTGCCACTTACATTGTTACAAAAAACAAAACAAAACAAAAAAACTTTTCTGTCTTCAAATTACTGTGTGGTTTCTCTCTCCTGACTAGACTGATTAAAACAATCAGTTTTAAAACTTTTGGAGGAGCAATTGATTCCGGGGCTGGTCTTGAATGGGTTCAGGGGTATAGTCTTCCTATACAATTATTGTCACTTTTCAACAGTACAGCAAATCAAATTTCTATTATAAAGATAATTTCTGGCGGAGTGTAGTGCCTGACACCTGTAATCCCAACACTTTGGGAGGCTGAGATGGGAGGATTGCTTGAGGCCAGGAGTTAGAGCCCAGCCTGGGCAACATAGTGAGATCCCATCTTGAAAAAAATTTTAAAAGTTAACCAGGTGTGGGCTGGGCGTGGTGGCTCAAGTCTGTAATCCCAGCACTTTGGGAGGCTGAGACGGGTGGATCACAAGGTCAGGAGATCGAAACCATCCTGGCTAACCCAGTGAAACCCCGTCTCTACTAAAAAATACAAAAAACTAGCCGGGCGAGGTGGCAGGTGCCTGTAGTACCAGCTACTCGGGCGGCTGAGGCAGGAGAATGGCGTAAACCCGGGAGGTGGAGCTTACAGTGAGCCAAGATCCGGCCACTGCACTCCAGCCTGGGCGACAGAGCGAGACTCCATCTCAAAAAAAAAAAGAGAAGAAAAATTAACAGGGTGGAATGTGCCACTCTGTAAAGCCTACTTACTTGAGCAAAGGTGGAGGATTTTGAGCCATATTTAGGCTGCGGGGAAGCCTTTGATCAATTCCACGTGCACTCCCACCTGGGCAGTCCAGAGTGGAACCCTGTCCTCTAAAATAATAATTCCTTAAAACCTAGTAACCTAATTTCTTATTAATGTGATTTTTTTATAGTCTTTTTAACCTGTTATCATGATACAATTTTTTATTGTCTTTCATTAAAAGATCTGTTTATATTTTCACTTTTTTCCCCTTTTTCTTCCCCAATACCAAAACAAAGTACAGAAGTGTTCTAGCACAAAGCTTAAAACTGACCAAGCCATCATCCATTCAGCAATTGCAGAGGGGCACGGAGGAAACCTCCTGCCCCTGTTGACAGGAATCAGGTCCACCTGCCGAAACGGAAATACCAGGAAGGCCAGTGGAGGAACTTAATTTCCTGCTTTGTTATGGAACCGTTAACTTTAACATGCATTCCTTTTTTTTTTTTTTAGAACGGAAGGTCTGCTCGCTACGCAAGGCTGGAGTGTAATGTGCGATTTGGCTCACATGCAACCCTCTGCCTCCCTGGGTTCAAGCATTTCCTGCCATCCAGCTTTCTCAAAGTAGCTGGAATTACAGGCGCCACCCCCACACCCACCCTAATTTGTATTTTTTAGTAAGAGAGGGTTTACCCCATGTTGGCAGGCCTTGGTCTCGAACCTCCTGACCATGTGGACCCGGCGCTGCTTGGCCCCTCCCAAAGTGCTAGATTGTAGGTCATGAGCCCACCCGCCCAAACAAGCTGAATTTCTAATGGTGTCACCCAGAGTAAACATGTGTCACAGACAATCTATTTTGCCATGACTATTTACAAATGGTTTAGAACATTTTCAAAACCATAATGCTTATCAACCAGATAACATTCGGGTTTGGTTTTTGTTTTTTTTCGAAAGGAGTCTTTGCTCATGTCAACCCAGGCTAGTGCATGGTGCATCTCCTCACTGCAACTCTGTCTCCCCTGGGTCAGCAATTCTCCATCCCCAGCCTCCTGAGTAGCTGGAATTAACAGGTGCCCACCACCC